CATAACAAACTACCATAAACTTGGTGGCTCACAACAGTAGAAATTTCTTCTCTCACAGTTCTGGAGGCCAGAAGTCCAAAATCAAGATGTGGGCAGGGCCGTGCTCCCTCTGAAGGCTCTAGGGAAGAATCCCTCCTTGCCTTGTCCAGTCTCTGGTGGCTGTCAGCACTCCATGCTCTGCCTCCGTATCACATGGCCTCCTCCCTTGTGTCTTTCCTCTGTGTGTTTCTTATAAGGACCCTGTCATTAGATTTAGGGCCTTTGTGGGCAATCCAGGCTGATCTCATCCTAAGATCCTTACCTTAATTACATCTACAAAGACTTTTTCCAAATAAGGTCATAGTCACAGGTTCTGGGTGGACATATCTTTTGAGGGTGGGGCTCCTCAACTCACTCAACTCACTCAACTCACTACACTATCCTTCCTACACATATATTAATGTATGGAAAATATATATGCCAAAGAAGAAATCTATTTTTTAACACAAATAGCGTCAGGTATGTGTTTTTCTACAATTGTAGCTATCATTCTGTAATTTGCTTTTCCTCCTCAACAATCTCTTTGAGAACTATGCTGTTTAGAGGTCGATCTTATGATTTTTATCTGATGCGTACAGTATTGCAAGGTATGGACTATATCACTCTCTCTATTACCCATTCCCTATTGACGGACTTACAGTTTGTTTCCAAACTTTTATCCCAGACTTGGTGAAGTAAAACACTCAATGTCATCAGTTTTGGGCCCTCCTTTTATTTTTATTTTTTTAAATTGTGAGGTGTATGAAGCATACAAAACGAATGAATAGTGTGTGTGTACAGTGTAAAGAATGATAAATGCACACTGTGTACTTATACCCAGCTTAATAGGGCATGACCAGTGGGGAGGGAAAGCCCCTCCCCAAATCCCACCCCCACTTCCTTTAGAAGAAACCAGTGCCTCAAACGTTGTTAAGCATTTCTTTGCTTTTCTTTATGTTTTTCTAACATGTACAGATTCCTAAATAAGATATTTTGGGGTTTTGCCTGCTTTTGACCTTTCTGTAAAAGGAAACATACAGTTTCTACACTTCTGTGGCTTGCTTTTTTGCTCAGCATTATGTTTTTGAGACTCATCAGGCTGATGCACCTGTAGAGCGGTCCTTTTTCGATGCTGCATTGTATTCCACTGGACGACTATCCCACCATTTACTTATCCTAATTCCTGGGGAGGAAGTTGGGTTGGGGCCGCATTTTCTCCTCTGCTTCCCCATTGGGGCTGGAGAGGAGGTGGGGAGGCTGAACTCTGGGACATCACTTCAGGCACGTCTGGCCCTGGGTAAGTGACATCCACCCAATCGCCACATCCCGGTGGGTGGACGGGGAGGGCCGAGGCAACCACACCATGAAGGCCAGAAAAAGAGATCCTCAAACAGCACTTTGGCCTGAAAGACTCTGGGAACTTCGCTGAGTCTCTGACTGGAATCACTCCTTCACCTTCTTTCTGGCCTGCCTGGTAGAGCCTGTTGTCCTCGTAGCTGCAGGAAATGGAAATATGTCGGCTTCTTGCCCCTTCCGGTCTTCTCTCCTTTCCTTGAGCCCACTCCATCACTCCTTTGGTTATGATTTGGGGAAAATCAGTTTTATTTGTGCTACAACTTGTTCTCATCTCATCTGGGCCCCCAGGACTGCTTGTCTAATGCAGCAGCATATCCTGTTCGTTCTAGCTTCCAAAACATCTCTATGCGAATATAGATATTTAAAGATGTAAATCTACATAAGCTTATATTTATACATAGGTATCTCTATCTGTATCTATAAAGAGCCCTTTGCTCATCATCTCCGCCTTCCACCCTAGTCCAAGCCACCGGGACACCACATGTGAACTTCTGCAATATCCCCCTAACAGGTCTCCCTGCTTGCACTCCATCCTATGCCCCAAACCCCACCCCACTCATTCTCTTACCACACAGCAGCTAGAATAACCCTTTCAAAATGTAAGTCACATCACGTCCCTACTCAAAACGTTCCAAATGGCTTCTCATCACACTTTGAATAAAATCCCAAGTCCTTACCCCAAGGCCCTATATGGCCACTACCATTTGACGGGGCCAAGCATGTCCCAGGGCCTTTGCACTTGCTATGCCCTCTGTCTGGAAGGTTCTTCTCAAGGATCAGCACTGGGCTAGATGCCTCACTTCGTTTAGGTGGAGAATCTTCAGTTCTTCTCCTCCCCGTCCTTGTGGAACCCTGGGACACAGGAGCTGTGATAGAGGGGTCCGGGCTGGGGGATGTGACCCTCCCTAGTTACATGATGGCCTCATATCTTCAGACCAGGTGTCCAGGCCATCGCACGTGGGCGATGAACTACCAGAGTGAAGAGGAGCCCCTCCAGGGGAACGCGCACGTGAAACATGACCTTTGGTGACTGCTCCAGTTGGGATGCTTTTGGCAGCAAGTTATGATGCTCGACTCCCAGCGGCTGAAGCCATGAGGATGGTTACTGTGTATTCAACCAGAGGCCCAGGGCTGGCTTGCTCCGGCGGCTCCGCAGACGGTCTAGGCTGGTCCCCCTCTGCCCTGCCATGGTCTGTGGAAGGGCTTTCTTCACCCTTGTATCTCAGGGTCACGAAATGTCCGTCGCACGTCCCTGCAGAAGGACCTCGCTCTCAGGGGACAACTTTTCCAGAGGCCCCTCCTGGTACCCACCCCTTTGGTCTCATTGGCCAGAACGTGGTCACATGCTCACCCCCAGGCCAATCACTGGCAAGGGAGAAAAAGGAGCACTGTGATTGGCTTAGACTAGTGGGTCTTTAAATTGGGGCACATTGATCCCTGCGGGATACACAGAGAATTTCCAAGGCATGTGGATGCACAGATTCTTTTAATGCAATTAATTTACAGATCCTCAACCTCATACGTACTTGGTCCTTACAATTGCCAACAATTGCCAGAGAAAGTATCTCTGTGGTCCAACGCCCTTCGCCAACCGAACAACAGTAACAGAGGCCTACTCGGAATGCACCCCAACTTTGAGTGTGTGCCGTGCCCCGGGGTGTAAGCAGCAACCTGGCACCAAAGCTTCCTGAAATGGGTGAATGCCATTCTCTCCTCCTTCTCTGGCTTAGACATTTCTCCTAAGGGTCAAGATTAGTTTGGGTTGAAACATTCTGACTTTAGAACAACCACAGCAGTGAAATTTACTGACACTGATTCTTTTAAGTGAAACTGGAGTATTTTCCAGTACTTCTAAATTTCTCAAGATACATTGAAGAACATCCATGAGTATATTTTTAAATGCAATTTCTTTCAGATCTGGTGTCCCTTTATCAATAAGAGAGACAGCCCCCTCAGGGGAGGGGGCTATTCTGTAAGCCATGTTTACGTAGCAAGCACCTTGTTTTAAGTTAGAATCTATGTTTATTCGTGGTGGCCGGGAGATGGAAGTCGTTTAAGATTAAGTGGTGGAGATGGGAGGTTGCTTCATAAAACTCCAATGGTGTAAAAAACTGTACTTGGGGGAAGCTGATTGGGCTGTTGTGAGATGGAGTTACGGCAGGAATGTGGGAAGGTCCCGCACAGCGCTAACGCACAGTAGGAGTGCAATAAATAAATCTTCAAAATATATCCAAGTCTCATTTTTCTCTCCATTTCCACAGCGGCTACCCTGGTCCAGCCACCATCATCTCTTGCAACATCATCATAACTGGTCTCCCTGCTTATACCCTCGCTCCCTGAAGACTATTCTCAACTCAGTAGCCAGAGGGATTCCCATCACAGCTGCAATCAGAGAATGTCCCTCTTCTGCCCCAACCCTTCCAACGCTCTCATCTCACTCAGGGTAAGAACCAAAGTCTTTAACAGTCTCCAGGAGCCACCTGAGCGGCCACCTCTTCCTTCACTGACTTTGTCTTCTACCCCAGGTCTTGCAAGTCAAAGACACAGGCCTCCTTACATAGTTCTCTAACCATGCCCAACACTCTCCTGCCTCAGGGCCTTAGCACATGCTGTTTCCTCTGCCTGGAAACTTTCCCCCCAGATACCAGTAGCTCATTCCTGTCACCTTCTTCAAGTCATTGGTAGAAGTCACCTCTTCAATGGGACTTTCCCTGACAACCCTGTTTACAAAGATTTATTTATTTTTTTCTCTGAAAGCCCCAGTAGACAGTTGTACGTCATAGTTGCACATCCTTCTAGTTGCTGTATGTGGGGCGCGGCCTCAGCATGGCTGGAGAAGCAGTGCGTTGGTGCACGCCTGGGATCCGAACCCGGGTCGCCAGCAGCGGAGCGCGCACTTAACCGCTAAGCCACCCGCCGGCCCCTGACAATCCTGTTTAAACGGAAATACTCCTCCCATGTTTTCTACCCCTCCCTGCTTTCTTTCTTTCCATAGTACTTAATACGTTTTATCATACGAATAATATTATACGTATCATTCTAAGCACATTAGGATACTCACTGGTACACTGTGTCTATTACCGTGTGCATTCCACTACGTATGACATATACGATGTATCTATTTGTTAATTGTCTGCTCTCCTCCCCACACCTGTCCGCCACCCTTATCGCCCGTTGCTAGAAGGGCAGGAATGTTGCCTTGTTCACTGCTGTACCCGCAAAGCCCCGCACGGTGCCGGGTCCCCAGCAGGCGCTCAGCAAACACCCGCAGGAAGAACAATCGATAACGACTGCAGGAGCGCCCGACCCAGCCGGCGCTGCTTTAACCCCTCCGCGCCCCACCGCGCCTGCGCAGCCCCACCCGCCCCTCGCGCGCGGGTTCGAGTCCTGGGCGGCGGGGCGCGGCGGCGAGCACTCCTTTGCGAGGCCGGCGCCCGC